GAGGAAATTTTCAAGTCAAGGTTTAAAAACATAATACCTCTATATGCAGTTTTTGGGGTTATAGAGAATAGTGACTCAGCAAAACACCAGAATAAACAAGAGAAAGATATAGAAGACACGGAATTCAGCACAAGGAACCAGCAAGTTCCAGATTGACCCATAATATGAAGTGAATTCCTAGTTTTGAGTCATTTAGAAAAGAGAAATTATTAAATACATGCAAATAAACATGTGGGATGCAAATTCAGGAAAATGAACAGTAGTCCCTTGCATTTTGCATGATGCTTGACCACTATTGGATTAGCAGTGAGTGGGATTTGCATAGTTAAGATGATAGAAAACATTTATTATGAATTTGAGCTTAAATTACAACTCTATTGACAGAATATGGGGAAGAATAATGAACAAAGAGAAATGTGTGATAATTGAGATGCTGTCTCTCATGCTGCCAAGATCATGCTGGAAACTGAAAAATGATTTAACAGTTTATGTATTTAATCATATGGAATTATCAGAAGCAACAATTAAAGCAATCAACTGAGAATTTAGGGGAGATGCAGTTGAAACATTTAGATTTTGAAATAAACTTTTCAGTATTGACTTAAAAATATTTATGAAAAGAAAAGTAAATTTCAAAACAAAGCTCTTCCATGTCATTAAGATTTTATAGGCAATGGTGGACATTGAGGCTCAAAAAATGAACCTGATATTATGTTCTTATATGGATAATATGAACAAATTCATGGGAAGAAAATTTTTCCTAGTACCTCCTTCCAGTAGATGTAGGTAAATGTTAAGGGTAGGAATAATACATGTGTAGTATTTGGGAAATATAATTTTCCAGAAAATTAACATATAAAATAATTACAAATTTCCCAGTGGACTAATAGTTCATAACCAGTAATTTAAAATTTTAAAACACAGAAAAATTAATTCATTAGGCTTAGCAAGTTATGATTAGAGAGAAAAAATGATTATTATATGTAATTACTTTATTGATAATTATTTTCATCAATTTTATCAATATCTCTATAGACATTTGCTGAGGAGTAAATCCTAGAAGAAAATTGCTAGGTCAATGTATTTTTACATATTTAAAGTTTCCTTTTCCTTTCTTTACATAATTGTTTGTTTTTTATGTGAGACTGACTTACCAAATCCACTGACAAAAATGGTCTATCACTTTCATTCACATGTTGAATACTAGTAAGTAAGGCTGGATTAGTTTCACCTACTTTTGACAGCATATGCATTTTTATTTTATTGGGAATTATTTTTCTTTGTCATTCAACAACTCTTAAACTGAACTTTTCTAAAATTAAAGTCTTATTAATAGATTTAATTAGATTAAAATTTAGAAATTAAAAATAATTTCTAAAATTGAAGTCTTATTAATAGATTTAATAAAGTTTTTTCAATTATATTAAAAATTTCTCTTCCAGTGTGTCAGTTGCTTTCTAGTGATTTTAGTCAATGGTGTTTTCTGAGGTAGAGGGCTAAATTACAGCTTTAGAATTCAAAATTCTCTCTCTTACTTTTTGAAGAAGTACACATACTGTATGATGTAAGATAATTGTTCGCAAACTCATCCTAGGAAATGTGTGACGTACTTCATTATTGAATTTACCACTTTCATCTTTAAGGTCCTCCCTTGGTCATCTAGTGGCCACATTGATATTCAGTAATGAGGTTATGTTGCCCTTTTTCTAGGATGAGTTCACAAACTTGTCAGACCTCATATGAGAATACTCTGATGGTCATTCCAGAAAAAAAGTTCCCAAATTTCTTTGAAGGGTAGAGTTGGCATTGGTGTCCGTGCATAGCTTCCCAAAGGGAGTACCTCAAAGGTGATCATGGTGATATTCAGCAATAAGGTATGCAGCACTTTTTCTAAGATGAGTTCCTAACTTAATTGTCTACCCTCATGTATATCATATTGTTCATTAGGATATTTTTCCTTAAAAATCAGAATTTTAGTTTCCAGAATTAAAGTTGAAATCCACTCATTTACTCTTCAGAGAGTATGACTTTTCTCAGTTGAGATGCATAGATATTTCATTTTCATATTGATGTTTTTTATTTAAAAGGATCATTTATACTTATTTCAAACAATCCATTGCCTTAGGGCACAAATTTCTACATTGAAAATAATTTTTAACTTAAACAGCTCAAACACTCATGCTGAGTATAATGGCACTTGTTAAATGAAGTAATTTACAGATTAGTACCAATTTTGTTTGAAATAGCAACTGAATAACTAAACTGTGTATATTCATAACCCCTTAGGAATGTTCTGTGGAATCAAAGGACTGATGTGCCTGGTTCTAATATAAAGGACAACACCACGTTCCTTCCTTCCACTTACCTGTAGCTGATCTGGGAAGCAGAAGTGAGAGCAGGAGGGTCCAAGTGCCCATGTGCAAGAGCCCCATCGCAGCGGGGTCTCAGTGTCCCAGGGTCAGGTCACATTCCAAGGTGTGGGTCACTACTGTTCACATTTTTCCTAAAACAGTATGAACAAGATTCCTTAATAGAAAGCACTCTTCAAGATACACACATATTGAAAAGGAAAGCAGAAAGTAAATGAACTATAAGGTGACTTAACAATATATACATATACATATATAATTTTTTTTGAGACTCATTTTCACCCAGGTTGCAGTGCCAAGGCATCAGCGTAGCTCACAGCAATCTCAAACTTTTGGGCACAAATGATCTTCCTGACCCACCTCTAAAGTAGCTGGGATTATAGGCACTCACCATCATCCCTGGGTAATTTTTCTATTTTTAGTAGAGGTAGGGTCTCACTTTTGCTCAGACCGATCTCCAATTCTTGAGCTGAAGCAATCCACCAGCCTCAGCATCTCAGAGTGTTAAGATTATAGGTGTGAGCCACCATGTCTGGCCTTAAACTTTTATATAATAAAGGGCCAAATGATAAGTGAAGAAACATAAAGCAGAATATTATTGATCACATGATGAAACAAACACCTCATGGTATGTAGAACACTACTTTTAAACTGTTTTTATATTAGTTTCCAGAATTGAAGTTGAAAACTGCTCACTCTTCCAAGGCTTGAGGGCAACATTAAGGGACCTTATTTTTACATTATTCATCATTGGGAAAATCCATCTTAAAATCACATGGGAAATCGCTATAAATTTATTAGAAATGAAAGGAAGGAAAGG